GACTGGATCAAACTTTACACTTTTGTAACTCAACCATCGAGCCGAGAACAAAGACCACGACCGCAAACCTTTGACGGCGGCTACCTCGATGGACCTCTGGAACCACAAAGAGTATCTGTAACCTCGAAACTCCAAAACTCTGATACTAGCACTCGGTGGTTATGGAGTTGTTTTGTGAGATGTGTTTGGACTGAATTTCGGCTGGGTTCTCAGTTGATTTTTTTTGAAAGAAAGACGAAGAAAAAATGACACTAATAAAAATTCCCTTATCGTAGAAGAAGCAAAAACATTTCTCTCTAATCCCTCCTTATTTCCTTACATTTTCTCTTCTATTTATACAAAAAATTTCGAAAATTTTCAGATTAGTTTTAAGATTATTTTATTATTTTATTATTTTTTAATTAAAAATAATTCTCACTTCCTATTTTTCTTCTTTTTAAAAATAAAATAAATTCCCCACTTTCCTTTACTTTTATTTTTAAATTTCTCACTAATTACTTTTATTATATTTAAATTCTCACTTTTTTAAACTTTTTTTTCCACTTATTTTACTTTTCTTTTTTTAATTTCCACTTTATTTTACTTTTTTTTAAACTTTTCACCTACCTTTACTTTTAATTTTTTAATTCCAACTTTATTTTACTTTTTATTTTTTAAATTTTCACATTCTTTTACTTTTATTTTTTTAATTTTTCACTTTCTTTTACTTTTTTATTTAATAATTTTTACCTACTTTTACTTTTATTTTTTAATTCCATACTTCTACTTTTCCTATTTTTTTATTCCCATCCGAAAATTTTAAAATAATATTTAATTTTTTTTGATTTTTTAATTTATTTTATTTTTAAATAAATATAAAAATAAAAATAATTTTAATAGTAATAATTGATTTTTTAAATTATTTTTAATTTTTACCCTATATAAAAAAATGTAACAAAGCTAAAAAATATATATTTAATTTCTAAAAATATTACAGAGTAGAAGGTGATAAAAATTTAAATATAGTAAAAGATTAGGTGCCCACATAGCTAATATATCGTACATCTAGGCTAAATTAAGATTTGATTTTGGTTTTGGTAGAGTGGATTGATAAATCATCCTATATATAACTGCAAATTAAGTATGCAGGTGAGTGGTGATGGCTACCAGATTATATTGATGCTACTAATGGAGCTTTGGAATTGGTTGTAAATCTTTCTATCTTCTCTGTCTTCTTATTCTTGTTTTTTCTTTCTTAAATCTCTATAAATTGATCCAATTAGTAATTTTTTTAACAACTTGTTTGGATGGTTGTCACATATTGTATTGTATCGTATTGTTACTTTAAATACGATGTTTGTTTTGATTGTTACTTAAATTTTATTGTATCGTATCGTTAAATCCGTCGTTACGACAAAATGTGCCACGTAACGACCGATTTTGTGTTGTCGCGTCGTTACCTTGTCTTTTCTCTCAATCTCACCCTTCATTATTATTAAATAATTTTATTTTATCATTTATCTTACATTTTTATATACCGTATCATAATTTTTAAAAAATAATATTACAAGTTTATTCTTCATATTGCTTGTGTGTGATATCATAAAACGACGACGAACGATATAATCTATCAAAATATTATATTTATCAAACGATACAGCACAATACAATACAATACATTATGAAACGATACGTAACAATCATCCAAACAAGCATAAAGGATCTCTCATGATGACTGATGCTGATCATATTATTGTACCAAGTACTAACAAAGGCACTAATGTTTGACCCAATAAAAAGAACAAAACCCGCGAAAATCAAACAAACATTGTCATAGATAAACATAGAAACCGTAAAGGAAATGAACAAACTTGATCATCAACGATCAGAAATACAAAAGTTAAAAAATAGTACTCGAAAGAGAAAGAACACAACAACAGAGCATTTATTTTTGCAAGAAATTAAAACTGAACGTCTTCAAATTAAGCGGATGCATTAAATGGTGACGATACAGTTAGATGTAACTGTATCTTCGCGTGGTGGGCCGCTCAATCCCACAGTGAAAGAGCAGCCGCTCTTCCTTGAGCCTCAATCCGAGCACGAATTTGAGCTGCAATAATCTGTTCATGTGCTTCATTAGCTGCATTTATCATCTCCACTGCTGAATTTGTATTTGGATCTGGACTTTGATTTGGATTTGGATTTGGATGCGGTTGCTGTATGGGGAAAACACCAACTTCAGGACTAATTGTACACGTCAAGTGCGACATAAAATCACAACCAGCGCAATAGTACAACCAATCGTCCGTCTTCATTATTACATTGCAGACATCACAACTATATACGATATTCTTATCTTCGAAAGGAGAACCAAAGAGGAGCTCCAATTGATGCGGGTGTTTGTCAACAAGTAATGAGCTCGGACAAGATGCACATTGCAAGTGAACATCAAATTCGCAACAAGCACAGCTAAAGCAAAATCCATTGCCAACAGAGCCACAAGCCTTGCAAGTATAAGAACGACTTGAGTAAGTTGGACTTGCGAGAAGGGTCAAAGGATGGGAAGAATGAGATGAGTGATCGAGGAAACGAGGAGCATTGAAGCAGTTCTCGTGGAGGAAATATTGGCAGCTACTGCAGCCGTAGAAATTAGGCTTGTTATTATTGTTTGGTTGCTCACAAGCATTGCAAGTGAGAGTTTCAACTTCTGTTGGATTCACAAGTTTCAAGATGTGGGAATGGCTGAAGTGTTGTTTACCTTGACTTGTTGAATCTCTACTCCAATTCCGTCTTCCCATTGATTTTCCTAGTAATTTTGTTCAATAAGGGATATATTGGAGAGGTAGCAAGTTTAGTGATTACACTGATTCGTAGTTACTTCTATTTATAGACATTAAACTGATTCTTAGTTGCTATGTATAGACATTAATTAACTACGATAATAACTTGGCCACGTTGTTCCTTCGACGACTTTGCTTTTATTGTTTTCCCCTTTACTAAGTCGTACTACAATATAATTTGGCCAATTGCTATTCAAAAACATATCTAAACATCTGTAGCATATTGACTGACTTAGCTATTATCCAAAATGGCTAACAGAATCTCTCTTTTTTCTTCTTTCTATATTACTTATATAGTTATGTACAAAATGCGAGCATCTTTGAATTTTGACTTAGACTAAACGCTGTCTACTTGTTTGTTTTCTGAAGTTAATTTCCTTTCCCATTTCCTTCTCTCGCTTAGCTCTCTGAGCCTTTATAGGTGGCCGTGTGTAATACTGTTGTTGGGTGTACGAAGAAAGTAACATATTGGTAGTCGAAAAAATTGTGAGTGTACATATAAGGTGCAGGGATCTCCTAATAATGTGAGGTCTTTTGGGAAAAACCGTACGGGTTTGATTCAAAGCGGACAATGTCACACAATGTTAATAGTATCATTAAACTAGTTTAGCCCAATAAGTGTGATATAAATAGTATTAAGTTAGATCCCCCGCAGTTTCGGCAAATTTCAAAATTGGGAAGTCAACTGTTTTGAGGTTCATGGAACTTGGAAGTATCGGTAACAGTTCACTGTTAGACTTTTTGCTCCTCCAAGTTCGCATTTGATCATTCAATATCGTAGTTCTGACTAATAATTCATTTAGACTTGTTCTAATTTGTATTCATCTTCTGAAAGTTGGAGTTTTATTAATGCAACTATCTCAAAATTAACTTGCCAGACGAACAATCATATGTCTGCCTTTGACTGATAATTAAAAGAAATATATTTACCTGATTTTTCAATCTCTAATTTGATCGTTCCTCTTACTGGCGTTACCGATCTTCTCAAGTTGGACGTCACTTCAATAAGATTTCACATACATATTTTTACTCTTTAATTGAGTCAACTAACTGTAAGTATAATTAAGCTATAGACTTTGAACTCATATGAAGATTTTTCCTCTAACGCCTCTTTACACCTTTTACGATAGACCCTTAAACGGATTCTGAATTCATTATCTAGATCATCTACATTAGAGATTAATGAAATAGGGATCGGAAAATCCATATTTAAATACTTTTGAGGTTAGGGATGGTTGCTAACTTGCTATGACGAGCAGTCTTCTTTGCATTAAGTCTAAAATTTCCTCCCTTCTATCCATCAAATCGTCATAGGGGTCGTTTGTTTCACATGCTGGTTATGCAGGACCAGAGGCAAAGACATGATTTGAAATTTATGAGTTCAAAATTTTAGTTCTTTAAAGTTACCGGATTCTAAATTAGTAATTCGCACCTATTCATTGAATTTCATAAGATAAATCTGAATTAAAACTACTGGTTCGGCCGAACCCGAAAAAGCGAAGGGCTAGCTCTGCCTCTATGCAAGACTATCATGTAGGACTGTTTATGCGGTGATAAATAAAGAATAGTTATGCAGTAGTTAATAGTATAGGGATTGTTATATGGGGATTAATAATGAGGAGATTGTTACGTGAAGCAATGGCGGATGCATGCACACCCATTATCTTCGGCAAAAACTTAGGTATATAGCATAAATTTCCCTGATTAGTATTCTCGCTTGACAAAATCATTAATTATATGAATATAATTTAATTCTTACATGAACATGTATTTAAACAACTTTAAACTTATTTTTTTTAATCTTTATTTAGTTATCCTATTAAAATTTGAGCATCCCGCTCTTCAATTTACTTTACGGCGGCATCAATGCAAGGATTAGATTTTTTCTTCAAGTGATCAATGCTTGTTTCTAAATATTCATTGATTGTTTTTCCACCCATCTATTCCTTCCTACATTATGAGATGGAGCTTTGATATTAAATCGATCCAATGATTTTTTTTGTTTG